AAACAGCTGGCTGACCTGAGTAGGAAGATCAACGCAGACATCAGCCCAGTTTACACAAGTAGGAAGATCAAAGATGAAATTAAGGTCAAGGAAGACAAGCCGCCTCTTGTGAGTCAACAATGCGTGGTGTATTCTTTCCAGTGTAGCCTGTGTGATGCAGGTTATGTCGGCTACACGTGCCGACACCTACACCAACGAATTGAAGAACACAAAGGATCGGCAATCGGAAACCACCTCAGAGAGCAGCATGATATGGAGCCTGAAGACATCGCACAAAGTTTTAGAATCTTAAGAAAGTGTCAGAACAAATTTGACTGCCTTATTTTTGAAATGTTTTTTTATCCAAGAACTGAAACCGACACTTAACAAACAGTGCGATTCAATTCGCGCCAAATTATTTGTTTAGAGTAGTTCTTGTTAACATTGTTTTATTTCCATTGTTTTTTGACTTTATAAATATTTTTTTAGCACTTTTTACATTTTTACATATTTTATCACATTTTAGCGTTCACCACATTTTTATCTATTATAACTTGCTTTTAACTTATCTATGCTAATTTAGAGAACTTTTATACACTTGAAAATGACCTCTGAGAGGTCGAAACGTCGTGATTTTTTATCGCTAATATTTATCGCAAAATCAAACTACTTGGTCAAAAATATCGAGACAAAACAACTTTAGCTAGCAAAAAGTGATTCAGCCGCCATTGTTTTGGTTTTCAGAGCCGGCGCTTTTCGCTACTAGTGGGTTATAACATTTTGCCTAGTGGTAGCTCAACCAATCAGAACGCAGCATTGATAATAGACCACTAGTTGGATTTTACTAAGGAAGAGAAAGTAAAGAAACCGTTAGAAAACAAATTTTAATACAAATTAGGTTGGTACGGCTGTTTATCGAAGTGTAATAATGATCGACTAAGAGCGAGAAATAATTTATTAAATTGAAACCCGGTCACCAGAAATGCTGAATTGACAATATTGTCCTCAGTTTGCCCATATTCAGTGTAAAATGGGGGTGACAATTAAGGAAAAACCGGTCACCCCGGATGGAAGCCATTTCAGAGAATTCGTTAATTACGGCGCATGGGAGGCCTATCTGCGAAGAATGGCCATGGATAGCGAGTGGGGTGACTGGATTGCTTTGTGGGGTCTTGTAAAAACAGTTACCATGAACATTTGTGTTATCGACGAGGACTGTGTAATCGGCCGTTGGTATAACCTTGATTTCGAGTTAATGTCACTTTGTCCTCAATTTTTTTTTGTATGTGAAACTTCTTTATCGTTCTTTCTTTGTTCTCTAGCAGTTTTCGTTTTCATGAAATTTGCGTTATGAAGCACGATTGTCCGCAATTTTTTTGTCTGTTTGAGATGCGCCAAATTAGTGAGCATATACGCCTACAAATGGAACCAGATATTATGTAATTATGTAAGTTGTGTTACGAATACAAGTCATGCACTTATAAAAACCTATATTGCTACAACTCTGGTCAAAACTCTTGGGACAATAACGCAACAGCTGGTGAAAATGACGCATTTTCTCTCCCCCACCCCCGTCCCCCCCCCCCAGTTGAGGGGAGGGGAGACAGCAGGAACGGGCTCTTTCAACAACAACTCCAAGCATTGTAACAGGTAAAATACGATTTTAATAAGCAAGGTGTGTTTTCGCGCCTCATTTCCTTAAGTGTCCCAAGACGTTTTGACCAGTGTTGTAGGTCTATCGTCATTCTTAAATCCACTCCATTCCAATATCCATGCCATTCCATATTTTTTATCTGGATCATTTCTTGGAGAGAGCTTTCCCCTTGCCAAAAGATATGCAGAGTAGTGTTGGTGGTGGCGGGGATATGTATTGTGGTCGCACTGTGTGTTTATCTTTGGTGGTACTTTACACAAAAGAAAAAAGAAGACAATCCTTTGTCTTTGGGTGGACCCTATTCAAGACAGGCAGTTGCTACGGACACTGACAAATGCTCCGAAATTGGCAATAATATCCTGAATGCAAACGGTTCGGCCGTAGACGCAGCCATTGCCGCTATGTTCTGTCTGAGAGTTATAAACATGCAGTCTTCTGGAGTTGGTGGCGGTGGAGTGATGCCCGCAGCGACAACGTCTGATATGTTTCCACCAACCGAATCAGGGAAAAACATGTCCAAATATGGTAAGTGGTATTTTTTTCTTTTTACGTTTTTGCCCCCGCAGCGATTTCGCCCAGAAGGCGAAATCCCGAGGAGGCATCCTAGTATATATAGAAATTAAAGTACCTACAATTGAAATATGCAGTCAGCATACAGGAAAAAGAAATCTTGATTTGTTTGATCAGGGTCCGCATGTCTATTTCCCTCTATTGCAGTAATAATTCAGGTTATCGTGGCGGAGATCGATGTCACCCAACAGCTACACGCGAAAGGGGTGCATGGCAAATTCAAGAGATTAGAGCTGTGAGAGCTTGGCGCCTCCAAGACACGCTTTTCCCGCAGTTTGATTGGAGTGCTTGCTCACAGTGTCGTGCTGGAATTATAATAAAAGACGTTTTTGGAACTGATGCACGTCAACCGGAAGTGATGCCTTTTCCCTTTTAATTTGACTTGACGCTACCAAATGGGTCTTCTTGCTAAGTATCTTTACTCTTGTTGAGACGATTTGCTCTTGGAAATCATGCTTTGCGCGCGCAACCTACAGATTATTCACTAATCTGTAGGTACAGATTAGTGAATAATCTGTAGGTTGCGCTGTTTCCCAGAATTAACTGTAGGCTTTTATCCAATGAGAAGAAAGATGGTGACTACAATGTATAATAACTTTGGTTAACGTTCATCTCTCAGGAAAAACGTCCTTGCTTAAGCTGGTTGGTTTTCACATGATGTCAATAAAATTCAAACTACAAAACTATCGATCCTACTGAGATTTTACTTTCATGGTGTATTAGAGCACCTGACAACTAATTTTCGTACAAATTTTCGCTTCAAAAGGGTTCATGGTTTTGTGATAGAGTACGCTTGAATTTCTAAGCTTTTGCGTGACGTGGCATTTACATGACGGCCGAGAGAGCTGTCATGTAAGTTAAAAAGGTGACGTATTTCGGGGAATTTTGCTATCTTAACAGTTCATGTATTAGAAAAAGTATTACTTTAATGTTTATGAGTCCCTCGAGGAAAATATTTACGCTTTTGTACCAAAACTCGGTAACAGATGTTTTTGTTGGTTTCCGTCCGCCATGTTGGTTTTCATCCAGATGGGCACCAGCATGGCGTCTCCATACAAATCTCTATAAATTTGGGTAAAACATTTTTTCGGATATCTCGTATACGGAATATTCTTCTGACCTGAATCTTGGTGGGGGTCTTTGTGTATTTACCTTCTTTTATTTCCCAGATTCCGGACTTTATCTATTGAACGGTCTTTATTATCATTATTATTATTATTATTATTATTATTTTTGATCAATTTTGTATGGCGTGGCACTGAAAACCTAGCCTGCGTAGCAAGCGTTTCTGTGCGGTTTAGGAGCAAAGAACGAAGAACAAGAGTCACTCGTTTCATTTCTCGCGCGGCCAGTGCCAAGAATCCCGTTCCTCGACCTCGGTCTTTCTTTGCTCCCAAACCAAACGGAAACGCTTGCTACGCAGGCTACCGAAAACCTTCAATCGTTTTCTTCTAGGCGGTCTTGCCATCGCTGTTCCCGGAGAGGTTAACGGCCTATACCGAGCTTGGAAGGAATACGGTTGGTTACCTTGGAAAGATCTGGTCCAACCTGCCATTAACTTAGCCAGAGAAGGATTTGAAATAAGCACCGCAGTGGCCGATGCCTTGAATGACCATATGGTAGAGAGAATAAAAAAGGATCCGGGATTAAGGTGAGCAATAGCTATCATTTCATCACATTTTGTTTGTTTGTTTGTTTTTTTTTTTGGCTTTTAACTGCGCCTGAGGTTTTAGAGTCGTGTCGGGTGTCCTTTTTCAAAATATTTTGGGTTCATTGGGATAGTTGAAACTGAACCGTGGTAGGCTCCGGGCCCAGGGGGGTACTCGAGAAAGTACTATACGGTGAGATTCCGCCCCGAGGGCTGACCCCTCACCCTTTTATATACCATTTTTGACAGAAGAGGTACTCTTTCGTATACCTTCTATTGTCAAATGGTACTGATCCCTCTCACATACCTACAAACTTTGCTTTCCTTTCAACTGCTGTAAATACACTGTCTTTTAAATGTGAATAAATTACAAGACCATAACGTTTTCTGGACTCTTTCACAGCTACAAAATTCATTTGCAAGCCCTTGTGGGCCTTTTTACAGACCGAAATAACAGATTTCCCACCCCCTTTCATATATTTCAGCTAGTGACATTTCTGCCCTTTCATACATCTGGAACCTGGAAAAGGTCCCCATTTTAGGTGGATCCTCTACGTACGGGCCGGACATTATAGGGAGTACTCCCTTGGGGCTCCCAGTCGCACAGAACTTCTTTGATTTGACTCTGTAGGACGTAAAAGAACGCTAGGGGCGTAACGAGTCCCATGCAGTGAAGGTCCCTAGTGTACTATTCTTAAATGTCTTGGATGAGTTATAATCTGTACATGTGGCCTAGGGAGAGATCATAATATAATAGCTTCATGATACTCCTTCGTAGTGCTGTAACTGCTGCCTATAAACAGAATATGAGGTATTGGAAAAGTGCCTTATTTAACACTGCTGTAATTTTCTCTTTATTGCTATTTATTGTGACATTTCAGGGAACTTCTCTTGGACAAAAATGGCAAGCCTTATAAAAAGGGTACTATAATCAAAAACGAAAAGTACGCGATGACACTGGGTCTCTGGCCAAGATGATCTCTCAAGATATAAGAATACGTATCCCCCGATACCAGGAAAGAAAGGGCCGGGTCACTGAACAAGATCTGAGAAACTACCAGACAGTGATCAGGGAGCCACTAGAAAGTGAACTAGCGGGGATGAAAATGCTCTTTACTCCTCCCCCTACAAGTGGCGCTGTACTAGGTCTCATCTTAAATATACTGAAAGGTAGGTGTTCTGTTCTCTTCCCCCTCATCATCATCACAGCCTTCGAGTAAACTCTCGGAGAGCTTTCTCGCTGGCTATCATCATCATCATCATTATCATGCGGGGAGCAAGGATGGAGCAGTGGTGAGAGCACTCGCCTCCCACCAATGTGGCCTGGGTTCAAATTCCGGCGTCGTGCCATATGTGGGTTGACTTTTTGTTCGTTCTCTCCTTTGCTCCGAGAGGTTTTTCTCCAGGTACTCCGGTTGTCTCCTCTCTTCTGAAACTAACATTTCCAAATTCTAATTCGATCAGGAATCAGGTAGACGAAGTACCACTCAGTGGATGTGTCACCTCTAAATCGTTACTTTTTTCATTCGTTGATCGTCAATCATCAACAACAGCATCATTCAGTTGCTAAATGAAAATGAGCCTACAGGAAGCACTGAGGAAGGGGGTTGGTGCCCGCCAACGATAGGTTTCTTCACTGTGTAGTTGGACAGTAAAGAAACCTGCAAGGGAACATTCATTCATCAGCAAGTTAAACGAGTTGCCTGAAACAATTATTTTACACTTATTTAAAGTAGAAGAGCTTTATTTTATAGGTTACAATATGACTTCCTCGGCCCGTAATGGCACAAATGCCTCCGTGTTAACATATCACAGGATCATTGAAGCTTTCAAGTTTGGTTATGCTTGGCGAAGTCGACTTGGTGATCCTGCTTTTAATATGGATAAGAATATAAGCGAGGTAAGGGAAAGATAATTTTTTCCACGCTTACTCCCGGTTACACCTTACACCATGTTCGCAAAACCCACGAGACAATGGCTGCATGGTAACTATGTCCATATTGAACTATGTCACCTTTTAATTCACACTTATTCGTTGAGCGTTTTCAGCGAAAACGCATCGATTTGAAAACGCTCTTGAAAGCGGATCAAAACGAAATCGTGTATATATGATATTAGTGTGGACGGTCGAAAACGGTCGAAAAACGCATCAAAGTGAAAACGATGCCAAAATATCGCAGGTGCGTGTGTTTGTAGATCCCTTTGTGGCATGCGCATGCAATTCTATCGTTTACGAACGTTTTATTCGAAAACGCATCACAACGGTAGTGTGGACGCGAATCGATCGATGCGTTTTTGATGGCAACGAAAGTGTCGACACGGCCTGAAACTGATAAAGAACGAACAAATGAAAAAAAAAAATCTAATTTCGTACTTTTACCAAATGAACTCAATAACTGTTTTCAAAAATCGATGAACTCCTTCTGTTTTTTAAAATAAGAAGCGAAAAGACTACTTATTTCCCGCGAGAGGTCCGTTAGTCAAATACCCTTCGAACAAGGGGGCGGGCCAAAGATAACTGGCTCTGTGAAGAGCAATTTCGTGCGACTTTGGCTGCTTTAGTTTTAAAAAAGAAGTTTTAGCGGCTGATGCAGCAGCGATTTTAGGCGCAAGTTCTGTTGGCAATTTTGTTGCAATTTTTGTAATCTTTATAATGCAACAATTTCCGGCGGCTTGTATAATGAACGCACTGATCGTCTTGGCTCTGTCTTAGTTAGCTCTCGCGCAAAGAGCCTCGCCGCTGGATTACACGCGCAAAAATTCGCTTCTGGAAACGGATTAATCAGGCCTGTACAATGCACCGCTGCCGTAACAATCACAATAGTTCTTGCATCTTTTCAGCTACATTTACATCTTCTTTATTCTATTCTATGAATGCAACTAAAAAGTTTTGGCAAACATTTTTCGTTATTTGACGCAAAAAAGTGCGGGGAGGAGGGCAAGTTCCCCCAGCACCTGCCCCTGTTAAGGATAACATTTTTGGAACCGTTAGGAAGAAGGAATATCTGTTCTGAGAGTTACAGTGATAAGGGATAATAAGATCCCCCAAAAAGGGCCTCTTTTAATCTCTAGGAATTTTATGTCTGAACTTTTCTCCAGTACTTTCTTTTCAGATTGCGCAAAAGATGATAGAACAACAGTTGGGCGACGACTTGCGTCAAAAAATTAAAGACAACGGAACATACAACAACGTGTCTTATTACGCTCGGTTCTACTCTGATGAAGATCATGGCACCACACACCTGGCTGTTTTGGCCAAAAACGGTGACGCAGTTTCTGTGACATCCAGCATCAATTACAGGTTTGTTCAGTGATAGACAAAGGGGCCTAAGTCAACGTTTATCCTGAACACCGCATTTACTCGAGTTGACGTCGAAAATAGTGAAGAAGTACGAAACGTTTTGCATATCCTGTAGGTAAAAAAAGTGATAACATCGCTGCCTTAAGGTAAAACATCGGCAGTTTGCAAATTTGAGAGGAAACTGCAGATATTGCAATAATTTCTTGAGAGCTCTATGGCGGAATACCTTCTTCGCTACAGGCTTGATGATTTAAAACCTCATTACAAAATTCAATTTCTCCAATCAGTATTTTGAATCGACTTTTTTGATTCAAAAAGTCAAATTACCGATGACCCCACATAAATCCCTCTAAAATAGGCCTGGATCGTAAACTTTACTATCCAAGCCAGTTTTAGAAGTATTTGTGTGGAGTCATCAGAGCAAAACCGTGCTTATATCTCCCCACCTATTGTCACTAGCAGCCTGATTTTTGGCAAGGGGGCTTTTTTCGTCTTTTTCTTTCTGGACATGTGAACCAATCCCATAATTTCAGAAATTTGAATTTTTGTGACGTCGCACTTTTCTTCTCTATGCAATTTATCTGGGGCGGATCCAGGATTTGACGAAGGGGGGTTCGGATAAACGCCCGCCGAAGGCGGTAGCCCCTAGGGGGGTCCGGGGGCATGCTCCCCCGGAAAATTTTTTATTTTAGGGCCTCTGAAATGCGATTTCCAGCGTTTTCAGGGGCAATTTGAAGTGGCTTAATTGCTCTAAAGTCACCTCCATTTTTGTACTAACTACAGTAGTTTAAAGGATGGATTTTCTTAACACTGACAATAATCAAGACGGATAAACATTTTAAATTCATTCAAATTAAAAATTCATGATTCCTCAAAAATGGGATCAGCCAGCAACATTCTCCGGGGTTGCTGTTCTACAAAACTATCGATCCTACTGAGATTTTACTTTCATGGTGTATTAGAGCACCTGACAACTAATTTTCGTACAAATTTTCGCTTCAAAAGGGTTCATGGTTTTGTGATAGAGTACGCTTGAATTTCTAAGCTTTTGCGTGACGTGGCATTTACATGACGGCCGAGAGAGCTGTCATGTAAGTTAAAAAGGTGACGTGTTTCGGGGAATTTTGCTATCTTAACAGTTCATGTATTAGAAAAAGTATTACTTTAATGTTTATGAGTCCCTCGAGGAAAATATTTACGCTTTTGTACCAAAACTCGGTAACAGATGTTTTTGTTGGTTTCCGTCCGCCATGTTGGTTTTCATCCAGATGGGCACCAGCATGGCGTCTCCATACAAATCTCTATAAATTTGGGTAAAACATTTTTTCGGATATCTCGTATACGGAATATTCTTCTGACCTGAATCTTGGTGGGGGTCTTTGTGTATTTACCTTCTTTTATTTCCCAGATTCCGGACTTTATCTATTGAACGGTCTTTATTATCATTATTATTATTATTATTATTATTATTTTTGATCAATTTTGTATGGCGTGGCACTGAAAACATTATGTAATCATGTTAATGTCGCGGATGATGAACATGAACAGGAAGCTTGAAAGTCACCATACGATGGCGCCATTAGCTGCTCTTATGGGTCCATTTGCGAGCTATCTGTATGAGATGTATGATGAGTGAAGTGATATAACAGGTTAACAGGTAGACCGCACAATGCACGAGGCAATCTCGCACTGATGATCTGGCGCGCCTACCATTTGCACGAAAATTTCGGTGGAAAATTTCCGTCAAATGGTACTGGTATTTTTTTGGCACCGAAAACAGGAACGGGATTGAGTTGTGCCATTTACAAAATACCTGTAAAGTTTTCCCTTTCTCTGGACATGAAGCCTGGCACTAGTAATCCAAACAAATGGTACAGAAAACTTCGATCGCCTCGATAAAAACGGGAAAAATGTAATGCCTCGAAAGGTATTACTTTTTTCCCCCGAAAGTTTCCACCGGGATGAACCGTTCCATTTGAATTCTCCCTGGAATTTCCGGATTTTCCATACAAATGCATGGTAAGCGTTCCTGGGCTACGTGCCTCAGTGGTCCATTCGTAATCGATCGAAAAAGCCTGTTTTATTTTCAAAATGACCGGTCCGGCCATTGTCTGGCTGGTCAGTTCTGACTTAAGACCGACACCTGTGGGACCAGAACTGAGCATATGTCCGTCTTAGAGACGTGTTTATCCAAAAGAGCGTCAACTAAAGAGAGTAATAAAACAGGGACCAACTCCAGGCGTCTGTTTTTAGTGAGGTGTCTGTCGTGATAAGTATGTTTCTTGAACAAGAAGCTGTGATTTTATCGTTTACAAGTAATTTCTTTGCGAACACTGAGTTCCATAGCATTTAAGGAAGTGCATTGGCACTATTAACAAAATGAATCTAGAGTTGGTCCCTGCCTTTTCTTACTCCTTTTAGTGGACTCTCTACAAGATGGACATCTCTCAAAAAGGGCAGACTCCTACGGAGAGCGGGTCCCAAAGGTGTCCCTCTAAGAGAGACTATATAATGACAATTTCTATGTAGTTTGTACACCAGGAGAGTATTGTTGTGAGAAAAGTGTTCACGAACCTGATGTGTATCTTGATAGATTTGGATGCAAGTTTCGATCCAACTTCACGGGAATTATATACAATAATCATATGGCAGATTTCGATACTCCTAACGATACAAAGAACAAGAGTGATGGTGTTTATCCATCTGAGGTTAATTTTCCCGAGCCTGGCAAGCGGCCATTCTCGTCCTTGCCCCCCGCAATTCTAAAAGACAATAACAGTGACGTACAGCTTGTAATTGGTGCCTCTGGCGGGAAAAAGATCACCGCGGCTGTATCACTGGTATGAAAAAAAAGAATTACTATAAATGTTTGACGAGCCTGAATAAACCCTCGGGGTTACTTCCTTATAAGAGGCTACTGAGGATGTGCCGCTGGATGGGGTCGCTTTTTCACGACTGGATTGACTATAATGGGGTTGCATTTTCAATGGAGTTACTAGAATGGGGTCGCACATTTTCGGATTTTTGGGGTAAGAAAGTTCAGTCTTCATATTTACGGCTAGTAAACGTACCAGAATGTTTGTACTGTAGGCGAAAAGTAAAGTGTTCTTCATTCACTTTAAAAAAATTGGTCAGTTTATTTTAGGATGACCTATTTAAAGTATTGATAAGGTAGAAACATAAATAGAAAGTGAAGTTGGGATAGCAAAAATTACACATTTAGCAGTTTTGACCAACAGTGACTAAGATGGGGTCTATTATTGCCCGCTGAATAGACTATAACGGGGTAGGGGTTCTCAGAGGCCAGCGGCACTTACCCAGCAAACATTAATCCAAGTTCCCCCCCATGAAATAAACATGTCGCTCTATGCAAGATACAGTAAAAACCCGAGAGCAAGAACCTGAAAATTAAGAACCTGTTAGCCTAAAATTTGCCATTTATACCCCCTACAAACAAGAAACTATTTATCCTAATGAAAAACAGGTTCTTATTGTTTGAAATCATATTAGTGAAATGAAGCTGCAAAGCTGTGTAAGAATCCTGTTTGGAGAATTAGGAGCTTGGCATTGCTGTGCAAATAAAAGTGATAAATTATTGATATATTAAAAAATAAAGTGCAGGAGGTTAATATCATGTATGGCATTTTGAAATTGAAAAATAGGCTGATTACCATCTTTTTTTGTAGCTTGTTTATTATTATTATTATTATTTTTTTACAGAAATAAGAACCTATTTAACCTAAACAGCCTAAAATTTTGTTAACTACCATTTAAATAAGAACCTGTGTAAGGCTAACTCCAGAAAATGTGAATTCTTACTCGCTGGTTTTTACTGTAACGAAACACAGTCTTGGATTCTGGAGTCGACGCTTTACTGATTCTGGATTCCAGGTACTGGATTCTGGATTCCTTGTAAGTGGAACGTGGATTCTCTGTTACCTAAGCTGAATAACAGATCCCAAAGCCCAGGATTGATGATTCCAGAAGCAAAAATATCCCGGATTTTGAAATTGTGATTGCCCTGCACGGGGCGAAACGTACGGGAGATTCTCGCCCAGTAAAGGCGTATTTTTCTGGCGTGTGCACTCTCACAGTGTCTCAGTGCCTTTTCTTCAGGCCGCAATCTTTGATTATGAAAACAGAGAATAATTGGAACGGGATGAAATATAGTAGTCAGGCATGCGTTGTGGTCTGTCAAGCGAGACCGACAGTAAATATAAGCTGAGGGAGTATGCAATATATATCAGGAGCGGGGCTGAGAATTGAGCTTCAAAGGGGAAATTATTATGTCATGACCCCCCCCACCCCCTCCTACCGTTCGCAAAAGCGGAATTAGTTCAGTTCCCCTCTTGATCTCTTGATAATTTTTTTCTACCCCTCCTCCCCCCACAACAAATATAATGTAACTGTAGACGTTGAAAAGCTTGAAAACCGTCTTCGCTGTTTGTTGTCCGACAACCTTGCTTGTGCTGGAAGGTCTCTCCCGAGAAGAGTACAAGCCAGCTTGGATAAGCTTCATGCGATCACAGAAAACATAACTAAACATGATGACAGCATATTTACGGAGGGTGGCAAACCTAAGATAGGCCTAAATTGCCTTCACAATTTCAACAATGAGAAACGACATTATATCAAGTCTGGCGTTGAAAAGGATGTGTTATGTCTTGTTGAGGACTTGGACAAAGTGATGGCTAAATATAACGCGAATATGAAATTGGCGCCAGGGCCACAACATCTGAAGCAAGGAAAAGGAAAAAGCAGAGAAAAAAAGGGAAAAAGAGGAAGCTCGCAGCTTGTGAAAATAGAAGAAAAAGAGCATGCCGCGTTTTCTGTTCCCTGGGAGGAGCCCCCCTTGCTAATGGTATTGGTATTCTGCAATGCTTGATGCTTGCTGAATCTTTCCAACCCGAAAACGTCCCATTCTTTCCTCAACGCATCTTCCGCCATATTTGCGGCGTTTGCGCGAGATCCACAGAAAAACTCGCACGTGACGTCTTCGAATATGCAAGGTGAATTGTGATTGGTCACTAACAGCTGACGTCACGGAAATTTTTTCTCGGCGGGTGAAATTAGAAACTAAAGCCAAAAAAACAGATGCTCTCACAGGCTACTCTAAAGCAGGGTAGCGAAATAAACTATTTTGTTTCAAACAGGGTCAGGGCTTGAAGGCAGTAGACCTCTACCAAAACTTTCCTTGAGTGCCCTCTTTCCTAAGAGCGCTCGGACACGATGTAGTGGTGGCAAGTGACACTGCTTTCGCTGTGGTAAAAGCTGTGTACCGAAAACCTGGAGAAGGCATTTATGCAAAGTCTGACCCAAGAAAATTTGGAGCTCCGTCGGGAGGCTAA